CTTAAATTACAGCTCTTTTTGTTTTGGCATACCCTTGCGATGTGTCCCCGCTTCTCACAATGCCGGCAGGTGGCATCCAGGAATCGACATTCAGATCTCGGGTGGTTTCCGCCACAACCCGCACACTGGAATTCGGATCTTCTGCTTCGTCTCTCTCTCTCTGGTTCCTTTCTGAGTAGAGTCTGTTCACTTCCTCATCTTCGTCATCTGAATCGGTTGATGATTCAATGTCCTCATGGTGAGAGGACATGGCAGCGTGCTTTTGGGTTCCCTCTGTCTTCTCTTTGTTCATGCTCGGGCTGCCTGCCATATTCATCTGCTTCATTTTTGCTGCAGATTTCTTTGCGGCTTCAGCGGCAGTTGCTTCAGCAATGGCTTCGTTGACGGTGATGTTTGGTCGGTTTAGTAGTTTGCTCTGTAAAGTTGCGTCTCTTAGTCCAAGGACTATGCGATCCCTCATGGCTTCGTCCATGTTGAGGAATTCGCATGCCCCCCCAATGTCTCTTAATGCTGCTACGAAGTCTCCAATGCTCTCGCCTTCTAGTTGGTCGCGCTTGTAAAACTCGTGTCTTCTAATTAGGTTGGATACAGCCGGTGCGTAATGGTTCCTCAACATCCGATTCAGGTCTGGCCATGCCATCTGTTTAACATCATTTGGTCTTGCTAACGCTTTGGCCATTTTAAAAACAGTCGGACCGCAATACGTTAGGAATACGGCTCTCTTCCTTTGGTCGGTGATTCCTTGCAGCTCGTTGCTTTCTAAAAACATCAGGAATCTGTCAATGTACGACTCCCAGTCTTCTTCGGCTGGGTTGAACGGTGCGGGTGGCGAATTGTTGCCGGCCATCTCGTTGGTCCTTTGGCTGTCGTTGCCACGTGCTTACGGTCTTTGTCTCTTTGATCCCACCTTCGTTGCCAGTGTTCTGTCGCCAGTAAAGAGACTCGCAGACCGAAGTTGAATTCAGCTCTTTAATAATAACAGTAACTTCAACTGCAGTCGAACCACAGCAGCCCTTTTTATAGCGGCTGCTCCATGGCTCGCAACCAATGACATTTAGTTAAACTTCCCGCCGCTATTGACGACCAATCAGGTACTAACGTTACTAACCAATCGTATCGTTGCTTCTGTTAACCAATAGGAACATCGCCCTAGAAGTCTCTATTTAAATACACTACAATACTAAGCTGGCAGGAATAGCTAACACCCAAGAAGATAGGCTCAAGATCCAGATGGATCTTGATAAACTAGAACACTGGGCCGTATCTAACAAAATGAAATTCAATGTAGAGAAAAGTAAAGTCCTACACTTAGGCAAGAAAAACCAAAAGTACACATATAGACTGGGTGAAACCAGGCTCAATAGCAGTAACTGTGAGAGGAATCTTGGGGTCTTAGTGGACAACCAGCTAAATATGAGCCAGCAGTGTGCAGCAGCAGCCAAAAAACTAATGCAATCCTAAATTGTATTAACAGAGGGATACAATCAGGGGTGGGATCCGACTGGTGTAATTACCGGTTTGGTGATTTTATATTTTGGGCTGGTTCTATGTATGCTCTCTGTTTGCTGCTTTTCATTGCAACCGGTTCTACAGAAGTGGACAGAACCCCACCCCTGGATACAATCAAGATCAAGGGAGGTACTAATACCACTCTATATCCAGTTTTGTTCACCGCATAATAAAAAAGATGTTGAGACTCTAGAAAAAGTGCAGAGAAGAGCAACCAGGATGATTAGGGGACTGGAGACTAAAACATATGAAGAATGGTTACAGGAACTGGGCTTGGCTAGTCTAGTAAAGAGAAGGACCAGGGGAGACATGATAACAGTCTTCCTATATTTGAGGTCCTGCCACAGAGAGGAAGGGGTCAAGCTATTTTCTAAAGCGCCTGTAGGCCAGACAAAGAATAATGGATGGAAACTGAACAAGGAGAGATTTAACCTGGAAATAAGGAGAAACTTTCTGACAGTGAGAACGATCAACCAATGGAACACCTTGCCCTTGGAAGTTGTGGGAGCACCATCACTTGAGACTTTCAAGAAGAGATTGGACTGCCATTTGTCAGAAATGGTGTAGGGTCTCCTGCTTGGGTGGGTGGTTGGACTAGATGACCTACAAGGTCCCTTCCAACTCTGATTATCTGTTATCTGATCTTCACTTTGGAACTTCAAGCCATGTGATCCTGCTGTCGACCATTAAACCATCTTTCCTAGCAGCCTCCATGTTTCCAGTATCTTTTTCCCCACTTGGAACTGAACCCAGAAGGATATTTTTTCCAACAAACTCCTATCACTATTTAGATTTTAAGTCTTTTTTTTCTGTTACTAGTCTCTAGCGATGTGGCTAAGCATCTGCCTTGGCCACCATCTTTTTGGCCTTAAGTTGCTAGCTACGACTGTGCAGCTACTTTTGCAGAGAATAAAAGCAGTTTTAATTCTTTGTCTAAGGCAGCAGCAACCCCTCCTCCTCCCTGCAGAGAAGAATAAAAGCAGTTTAAGTCTGTTGAAAGAAATATACTTCTGGGTTCAGTTCCAAGTGGGAAAAAAAGACACTGGAAACATGGAGGCTGTTTGGAAGGTTTTATATCAGGACCACATGGCCTGGAGCTCCAGAGTGAAAAGGAAGGATGATCACATGCTTCAAGCTGAAGGAAGAGATCAAAAAAGGACTGAGGTGCTGAGAGTGCCTGGGTTTTATACCCTCTGTTGGGATTTGAATTGGAGCTTGTATTCTAATTGGTTGTCAGACCCCCATGGGGCAACTCTGTAGGCTGTCCTGAGTTCCAGGCTTGGTTGAGCCTTGCTGGATGATTATGCCCTTAAAGGGGCTTTTGGCAATTGCTATAGCTTTACCTTTACCTGCAGATCTTTGTTATGTAAAGTATTCTGGCCCAGGCCTTAATGGCCCACCCATTAACAAAGGTGGTGGTGAGTTTCTGCTTCTGAGTTTCTACTCTTTTTAGAGGAAATATTCTGCCTTTTTAATATTTCCTAGGCTATTTCAATTTTCTTGGAGAGGGGTGGGTGCTAACTTCCTACAAGTCTTTGTCTAAGGCAGCAACCCCCCTCCTGAGAGAGAGTGAGAGCAAAGCTGCTTAATTGTTTAAGGCAAAGAAATGAAGACAAGAGAAAATGTTTCATCAGAATTCACATTCCTCACTCTCATGTCCATTCCATCCACACCTGGGTCCTATCTTCACATATTGTTAGGAATATAAGTCACCTAGCAGCTATTTGGGTTGGAAATGTGAGAAGTGTTAGATCAAAGTATCCATTTTTATGACTCAAACCTCATGTTGAAAGGAATGCCTTTAGGGTAGGGAGGTACCAGGTACCGATTGAACTATCCTGGAATGTTGAACTGTTGAACTATCTTGGAATGTCTCTGAAGTGCCAGATACCAATTGATATGTTGATGTATGCCCTCATGTAAGGGAAGTGCTCGCTGCGTGCTATGCACCATATAAGGTAATGAATTGTAACCTGTATTCTGAAAGGTAGATTGTAAACCAAGCCATTTGCATAATGGGGCGATAGCTTAGGGTATAAGAATAGAGCAAATGCTATGCTATGGGTTCCTCCCAGCTGCCAAGGGTGGAACCCATCTCTGCAGATATGTATTCAATAAAGCCTTTTTCCTTGGATCAACTTTGAATCGTGGTGGTCATTTGAGCCAATCTCACAGAAATATATAAACCAGGATAGACATTTTGATACTGCCTCTTTAAGGAAATGCAAAAATCTGTAATTGGGTGTGGTTTCTCAAACGGCCATAAGATGGAGCCAGAAACCTGAGTTGTTTTGGTCTTAATCTCAGAAGAGAGTGTGTCTCCGTCTCTGTTTCCTTCTGTTGGAGAGTACTGCTGTTCCTCCATTTTTCTTCTAATTGACTGCTATTCCTGGATTTGATGTAAGTCTGATACTGAACTGTTTTTGATACTGGAATTTGTTATTGGATTATCCCTGGACTAAAAACTGACTGATTTAACCTGTGAATGACTTTGGACTGCCTATTTTGAACTTTGCTTAAATGTTTCTGGAAGTAAAAAACCTACATTTACTGTACAGTGTATCTGTGTGCTGTGTGTGTATTATTCCAACACTTCTCTTACTACGTCTCCCTTTATGTGCTCATTCTCCTAACGGGGAATTACCTCAACACATATGACCCTTCCTCTGATTCCCAGGGCCTCATCTGTACATACATTCTACCATCTGATCCTTCAAGGTTTTATTGAATGAACCAAATTTTCTGGGTTCGTGTGACACTCAACACACACCGAATGAAAAGGGTTTTTTTCATATAACGTGATTTACTGTAGTATGCCCTGCAAATATAGCTGTGTGAGATTGTGGCTAAGAAAAACCACCAGGATTCAAAGTTGATCCAAGGAAAAAGGTTTTATTGTAACATTTCTGCAGAAACGGGTTCCTGCCCTGGCAGGTGGGAGGAACAAAAGGCAAAGCTTAAAGGCTCTAATCTTATACCCAAAACTACCCCCTACTACTCCCCCCTCCCAGTATACAAATGGCTTAATTTACAATCTATCTTTCAGGATACAAGTTACATTTTATTATCTTTCATGGTGCCTAGCTCGTAACAGACACTTCTTTATCCGGTATCTAGCATTTCAAAGGCATTCCAAAATGTGTGATAGTTCCTAGCACTTCAAAAACATTCCAAGATCAGTTCTAATCAGTGCTTGATACCACATTTCCTTACTTCAAAAGGAAAACCTCCCTTTTTCATCTTGAGTTTTGAGTCATAAAATGAATACACTTCCCACAGCTGCATCCATGTCTTTTTTAACGCCACAGTATGCTATCTAAGCCTAGCATGTAAAATTATTCAGAGTTGAGTATATTTCATGAAAACAAAAAAATACTCCCATTTTTTCCATTATTGTGTACATTGACATCGAAAGCTCAGCCAACGTCGTCTCTAAAAATCCCCAGGAAGCACTGGAGCAACATCCGGCGGAAGTACTCGAGACCTTCATTTTTAAGAAGACATGGCTTATTTGTTTTTGTTTTTTAAGCGGGACTACAAAGACATGTCTCAGGCGCCCGAAAGGTTTTAAGACGAAGGAAATATCCGAAATAAGTATCCGAGCCTCTCCGTAAGAATCCGAAACTTTCCTAGAGAGGCAGCCTTTCCCGAAGGCTTCTGAGACGATTCGGGAAAAGGGAGTAGGGAGCGGGGAAAGCCAGCCACTTCTCGAAAGGCATTCCGGAGATAGCCGAGAATTTCCGTTCACATCCGAAGCAGTCACCGGAAGTTGCCGAACTCCCAGAGAAGGCGCTGTTGCGGTCTATTGCGTGAGGACGACCTGGGCTAACGCGCCACCATCGTCCAACCGTAACTAGGACGGACCAGGGGACGTCCTCCTCCCTTCTCCGCAGCTATGTCAGACTTCGACGAGTTCGAGCGGCAGCTAAATGAAAACAAACAGGGTAAGCAAGCGTGGTTGGAGGCAAGTAAGTCGGCCGGGTCAACGCCAGAGGGAGAAAAACAAGTACGAGGTAGCGGCACTGCCGCTCCCCTTTCACCGGTGGCCGTTCCGTTGTTCACACCGCTGGTTTTCGAGGCTGCCCCAGTTTAAGTGAAGGGTTGGGAATCCTCCTGCGCCCGGCCGCCTCCTTTACCACATCACCCTCCCTCGGCCTTATTTGGCGCGAGTCTGAAGTGGTTCCCAGAGGGGACGGAGGCGAGGCCGTGCGCCCCGAGACCATTGGCGGCCGAGTGCGCGGCGTGCGTTTAAAAAGGGGGCGAGGGGGTGGAGGGGAACGCCGAGAGGGGCAAGAAAAGGTGTGGGGGAGGAGAAAGCGCTCAGTTTTTCGGGATTGGGGATGGGGTGGGGGATTTAGAGTTGGGGAACGCACGTGGTGCGCCCCTCCCCTTCCTGGAGCCGAGCGGGTAGGCAAGGCCGCGCTTGGGAAGGACGTCCCTACCGGCGGAAGAAAGTTAGCGAAATCTGCTCAGCCGCGCTTTCCTCGGGCAGGTAGAGGTGAAACGAGTGGCTTCCTTGGCCCACGGGAAGCTGCTTCTCAGCGTTACTAAGACCATGTGGCCTGACGGCTCAACTGTAACAGGATAATGGAGTTGGAAGGGACCTTGGAGGTCTAGTCCAGCCCCCTGCTCAAGCAGGAGAACCTATACCAGGGCTCTGCAACCTTAAACACTCAAAAGAGCCATTTGGACCTGTTTCCCACAGTTGATTGATAATAAATGGCTTCAGCCAACCACTAACCATGAGTGAAAAGTTTTTGTGTTATCATTCATATTCTCTGAAAAATGGCCAAGAAATCATAAATTCTGCCAGGGTATGTAAACTTATGAGCACAACTGTAAATGAAGCTCTTTCATCCCCCTGCTGTGGCTTCCTGTCCGCTGAACTCGCCACTGGCTGGCCCTGCCCCTCGCCTTCCCCTCCCACTCCTTGCCTAAGAAGGTAAGGGTGACAGCAGCAGATGGAGACTTTCTCCATATTCTAGAGTGGGAGCGAAGCACCCTGTAGTTGCCTCCTCTTCTGGCCCTTGTTGATGCTGCACACACATCGGTTGCTCAGGGAGACACATGACTTTCTCTCCGCCCTGCAACACTGTCCCAGCCCGGTTTAAGCCAATGTTCTGTGTCATAATGGGCTCCAGGAGGAGGAGGGGACACCGTCTCCCCCATTGTGAAACATGCTAAAGTTAAGTGCTGTGCAAGGCGCTGCAAGAGCAGCAAACAGGCCATGGAGGTGGTGAGAGCAGCGGTGTTAGCCACAGCTGGGCCAGGCCAGTGTCTTGGGGCGGAGAGCAAGTCGCACGTCTCCCCGAGCGACTGAGGTGCACGGCAGCACCAACGAGGGCCGGAAGAAGAGGCAAGTAGACGGGCCCTTCGCTCCTGCTCTGGAATATGGAGTGAGTCTCCATCCGCCACCATCACCCTTACTTTCTTAGGCAAGGAGTGACTGGGAAGGGAGGGTGAGGTGTGGGGCCAGCCAGTGATGGGACAGGGAGCCGCAGCAGAGGTCCCAAAGAGCTGCATGCGGCTCTGGAGCCGCGGGTTGCTGACACCCGACTTATACCATTTCAGACAGGGTTGCCCTATCTTTTCTTCAAATGCTCCAGTTTTATACGAAGAATATGACATTAAAAGAAAAATGGATCCTACCTTTGGATTATAAATTGAGCGCTACCAGCATAACTAGGTCCACATTCGCCCAGCAGCGGGTTGAGTGTGTGGGACTGCATCTACCATGGCACACCTATTATTTTGCGCCAGGGTTAAACTGGATAGTTCATATCCAACCTCAACTTGTGGCTGTCTTACCACAATTTGAATAACTATGGTTTCCTTAGCCACAGCTTATTGTATCAACTCCAACCTGACTTGATTTACACAAGATGCCATAAATGCTATTCGGAGTGGATTTCAGATGGGGGCAGCTTGCCTTCTCTGAGTTGGAGACGCCAGAGGTTTAAACTTAAGAAAAATGCTACAATACAGGTAGTTCTCAACTAACGACCACAGTTGAACCCAAAATTTCTGTTGTTAAGGTAGTTGTTAAATGAGTTTTACCTCATTTTATGTCCTTTTTTGCCACAGTTAATTGTACCACTGTAGTTATGTCATGAAGCGATTCTGGCTTCCCCTGTTGACTTTGTTGGAAGATGGCTGGGAAGGTTATAAATGGTGATTACATGACCCCAGGACAATGCAGCAGTCATTGACTAGCCTAATCCAAATATTTTGATTGATACAAGGAAACCAGAGATGGTATTCAGCCAGTTCGGACTCATTTGAGCATACTGGTAGTGGAAATTTTGAGTAGTTTGCAGAACCGGCAAATACCACCTCTGGCTGGCCCCACCCACCTGCCCCCGCCCTTGCCCTTTCCTGCCATAAATAAGGCTAAATTCCCTTATTTTTTAGCTCAACTGATTCGCACGGCAGAGTGGATTGCCGTGCCTCAGCTGAGCTAAAAAAACACATCACCTCACCAGCACTGACACCAAGGGTGGTCTTTGAGTACTGTGCTGTGCTGTGCCTATGTGAAGCGCGCTCTCATAGACTCAATCGCACCACCGGCTGGCCCCACCCAACCTGCCCCTTCCCGCCCACTCCACCCTGCCCTATATATCTTGCCTCCGCCATGTGGCACAGCTAATCTGTGCACTTCACCTCTTCTGCTCACCAAATGTAAGCAATGCATGCTGCCCGCTTGCCGTTCGCTTCGGCTGGGTTGGGTAACGCGCCATTCCCCAGCACTGGCCTTGCCCAGGAGCCTCTGCTTGCTTGCTGTTCTCCTTGACCGGGTTGGGGAACGCACCATTCCCCAGCTCTGGACTTGCCTTAGGTCTCCACCCGCATGCCTACCCCTCTGGCCTTAAACTACAGCCCCACAGGCTGAAGCAATTTATTTGGCCTGCGGCCTGCTGTGCTAGGCCGAAGGGCTGCACGGGTGGCAGCAGCGGGGGTTCAGGAGGTCCGAAGTGGTTGGGGAGTGGACCAGACAGATCTTCTTACCTTTAAGAAGATCCATCCGGAAAGCGCTGCAGAGGAGATCTTGCAGCCGCTCCTTTCGGCCCTTGCTGAGGTTTTGCTTGCGGAGATGCTCCACGTGCTTTCCGGGTCAGCAGGGCAGCTGCTTCTCTCCACTGCTGCTCTTGCTCGGAGAGCAGACTGCAATTTAGCAGCTGTCAGCCGCCACTTTGGGTCCTATAAGTCCCATCCAGGAAGCGCTGCAGCTGAGAGAAACAGCATTCAACATGGCTGCTGCTTCTCTGTGCTGCACCGCTTTCCGGATCAGACTTAGAGGACCCAAAGTGGCGGCTGACAGCTGCTAAATTGTAGTCTGCTCTCCCAGCAAGAGCAGCAGCAGAGAGAAGCAGCCGCTGCCCTTGAGAGCAGAGATGGAGCGGAGCAGGCCCCAAAACGCTGCTACGTCAAGCCTCACTGCATGGAAGCTGTGTTCGTGGGCACATTCTCCAATGAGCATCCAGCAGTGGGAGGTGCTTAGACTGCTCGGATAGGCTGGGCTTGATTGATAGGATGCTCCTCCTCCTCCACGCACTCCTTAGCGTCCCCCAGTTTCAGCTCAGCCTTCACTGGGTAGGCAGCTTGTTTGGTTCCTTGGCCGGACTAGGAAGAGAGAGAGGTTTGAATTACAGCCTTTTAATTAGAACATCCCTCAGACCTTTTTAAAATAATTGCTTCTGACAGCACTTCGCATAGATTGCAGTCAGAGCACAGATTGGCTCCCCGGGGAGTTTTTTTTGCCGTTCTGCAGCGATCGGAGGCATTTCTGTTAACTTGCCATTGTGAAGCCCTGCTGACGAGCCATTTAAAGGAACGCGCTGTCAGATTTAACTACCCGAGGCTTTTCTTTTCCTTCCCCGCTAAGAACACCTATGGAGAGGGGCATCTGCACTCACATTCCCTCTCCTTTGCCTCCGCCTTACCAAGACAGTTATAATCTTTGCGAGAGGTGACGGTTGCTGCTATTTTGGCGCACAAAATAACCACCGGCACCATTTTGGCTGGAAAAATCCCATAGGGATTGCTACCCTTTTTTGTCTGTTGAGAGGCAATATTCCCATGCAGACTCTCTCCATGAGATTCAAGGGACAAATCAATCCAATTTTGGTCCTCTTTCTGGGGTCTATTGTTGGCTATTAAGTTGGCAGCCCTTAAAGACAATTTCTGGAAGTTAGCAGCATAATAGCGAGCACCAATGTGTCCACCTGCGCAGACAGCTGTTGAGGGCCATTTGGACAATTTTTTTTTCCTCGCCCTGAGAGGTGTTCCTAATTTTAAAAAGACTGACTAGGATCAACACAATTATATCAGTCACATGTATTAGAATATATATATTTATAATAATTATTACTAATTAATAATAGTAATAATCACACAATATTATAAGTAACTTTAAAAAAAAGGGGGGGGGGACAAATATTAAGAGGGTTCCCTGCCCCTGATTAGAGCAGGCTCCTGGATGAGCCAACAGTCCAAATCATATCCATATATACATGTATATACACACACCTTTACATATAGATATATAGCCTCGTAGGCTTACTGTTAAGGGGCGTAATGGCAAGCAAATACAACATTGCTGACTAGGACAAAGCAAACAGGTTTGAATTACAGTTTAATATTTAAATTGGCAATTCTAAATTATAATTTTAATACAAGTCTAAATTGTTTTCTAATAACTTTATTCCGATGGCAAATTGGCAAAGACTGCGGTTGGAATACACATCGGCTTCCCAGGGAGCCCTCAGCCGCTTCTGCAGCAATTAGAAACCACAACATCTTGACATCGGAGATTGGCTTGGCATTGCGAAGCCCTGCTGTGCTTTAAAAGCTGCTTTAAAATAGCTGCTTTAAAAGACGAGCGGCCAGTTTAAACGGTTGAGGCTTTTTCTCTGTTTCCCCCGATCAGAACACCAAAAAGGGGGCT